AAGTTTGTTTTTTCTTCGGTATTAAAGTCCTCGATTAGTCCGAGCGATTATCCGCACTCTGCGAGGTATTGCAAATGTACATTTGTTTAATACAAAAATTGTTCTTTTTCAAACTTAATATCTATATCAATCAATCAAATTTTTATTAAGATTTTGATACAATATGATTTAATAATTACGAGCAATATTTATGTCAATAAATATAATTACATAAAGTCTCTTTACTTGTAATGTTGGAATTTATGAATTGAATGTTGTAAATTTTAATCCTATATTGTTAAATCAATATTTTTAAATATCTATGCAATGACGCAAATAAGTATTGATCCCTCATAAAACCTGTCTTATCACATAATAATTACTTTTATGATTTCCAGACAGAAAAAAAAGAAGAAAAATTTTATTGAAAAGTTCATTTGCTTGCACTTTGATTATAGACGACCTCTGATTATTACGTAATTTTTGTGTGTATTTTTATGATTTTCATATTTTGCAAAATTGATATATCGAGACTAATTAAATAATTGTCGTCTACAACAAAAAATATGGTTTTAATACAAATTATATAACCATAAAAAATGGAGAACAATTTGTATTATAATTTTGTTATTAACTCTGAAAAAAAAAACACACATTACGTTTACATATACAGTGGAACCTCGCATAACGAACATTTCGCTTAACGAGTAAAATGAATTGTAAGAAAAATGTCTCGCTTAACGAGCGACGTTTCGCATAACGAGTGACGATGAGAAGAGAAGTCCTGGATTCCGCGCCTGCTACATCATTTTTAAAACTTGTGTACACATATTATGTGTATTTTTAATATGTTTCACTATACGAGTATTTCACCATACGAGCCGGAAATTTTGGAACGGAGTAAATTCGTTAAGCGAGGTTCCCCTGTACAAAGCTACTAACATCGTTAAGAGACGAGTTCAAAGTGTATGTTGTTTTAAATGTTAAACAAATAATAATAATTACATTTAAATGTAAGATTTCCACACAGTTTTTGATTTCATAAATATTTTTAATTTCTATAAAATAGAAAAATAATTTAAATAATAGCTGTAGTAAATAAAGCTGAAACCTTAAATATTGTAATATTCAATTCATAAATAAATCTAATTAATAGTAGTAATTACTAAATTTGTATTTCTGTCCAAAAAATCTTTACTTTTTTTCTCTGTTTCTTTGTGACAATGTTAATTATTTATAGGATAATTACATTTATAATTGAACCTTAACTATCCATTTAACGGTGGTGATTCTAATTCAATAACGAATTATCTACCAAAACTAATTAAAACTAACCAAATTCGTAATTCGTTCCAATGGAACACGATTTACCGTATTTAAATAATTGACCAAATGCATTTTTAATTCATTTAATTAACAACACATACATCTCCACGCACGCACCGTAATTTTGAATTAAAACCAATACAAGAAAAACAAATTGAATCGAGCATATTTAAATTATAATTTTATTATGAAATTTATAAATATTTGTTTAAATAATTAATATGTATACTTTATTCGGAACATTTTTTTTGAACTAGTTTAAAATTGAGCAGTATCAACCAATTCAAATACAATTGTATATCTTATGTAAGCTGTCAAACGTCAATTATTCACAGCACATCATATTTCTTAACTTAACTAAATGATTGCACAAATTCAAAGTAAAAAATCTTGTCAAATTTAAAGATAATTTAACTTTCGTTAGATGTCAAAAGTCAATTATTCAATTGACAATGCAGAGTATTCATGTTACTATAAATACAACACTGAAGTACAAATTCATTGTGGAGAAAAACAAATCTGGACAAATTAAAAGATAATTATTCCGGATAGCTACAGCGTATTGAAATACCAATCGAATGGCATTCATGAAACAGTAGTTAAGGCCGAACGAATCATATATTCAATAACTGTTAGCTGAATAGAAACCCACACATATTGTATGTGAGAGAGCGAATATTAGTTGGATGAACATAACGACTTCCGAACGCAATTGATAATTCTCCACTTGTCGACATTAGTGTTATGCTTCTATTGTCATGGCTTCATATCTAGTTTCATATTTATTAAATCAGTGGTTCAGTAAACCATTTCATATTTTGATATTGCGAAATCAAAATTATTATAATAATCGTGTAATAATTATTTATTGTATACTCGATATTAATTCGCGTTTGCATTCAGTCTATTCTAATACAATTATTCATAGGTTGTGTTTTATAAATAGTTCAGTCGCATAGAAAATATGACTTCATGTTGTTGTAGCTAAATTTACCTGCGGCTGATAAATTTCAACATGCAATGAGCCTGCAGTAATGTGATTTATTTTTAGTCAGTAAATACCCAATAAATGGAAATAATGCGGGTGTATCTTTATAGGCGTTAGTGCGTATGACTTACAATATAAATGTTTGTAGTTTTAATTGCTATCAACTAGATTTTATGATTCAATGATCCATAAATAATATTTAAAATTTACTTTATTATATGAATGATTTACAGTGAGAACTTGTTCGAACAAAAACCATATACAGTGTAAACTCGCTTAACAAGCGACGAGTAATTCGTATAACGAGCAAAACAAGTTGTAACAAAAATGACTCGCTTAACGAACGACCTCTGGAGTACAATCTCACATTACGAATGACAAGCGCCTGCTACATCATTTTCCAAACTTGTGTGTGACTTTTTCTTGTGCAAATTTTAATAATTTTTGCAATAATATCCCCAAAGAAAAAGCCACAAGAAGAGTGCATTAATAGAATAGAATAAATAATTTAGTATGTATCATAAATAATAAACAAATTATTACGATTTTGTTTTCTGCAAATCGAATTTGCATTCCAGGTTAATTAATTCCGCGATAGAAAAAAATATAAAGATGATTCACGCTCCTTAACAAAGTGTATATATTTTTCTTTGAATAAACGTTGTTATTATTTGTTTATACTTTTTCTCGGCATGCAATGCATTATCGTATTTTACATTAATTTATATATGAAAAATTGTATCGTTTAACTAAATTTCTAGACGCAACAAATTTCAAGACAACTGAGTCAGAAAACTACGTCAATTTAATCAACATCGGATGGTATGACCTATCATTTGACATACTATGAAGATAACTCCTCTTTCCTGGACATTTCCTAGAAAATTATAATAATGCCCCACTAGGCATGTTCCAAAGGTGGTACATTTTGTGGCCCCTCAAAGAGTTAACGAGTGTTTCTTGTTACGAGTAAGTATCTTCAATATAAAATGTTCGTTACGCGAGGATCAACTGTATTCGGATAACGAACATCTGACAATATTTTTGGAGTGATGACCGGTTAACGTACAATTCAGACGAATGAATTATGTTCGTTATATTTACATTGCGAAGCGAATGAACTCATTAAAATGTTTTGTGATAAAACAAAATTGTTTTGTAAAACATTAATTATTGAATACAAAAATATTTATTGTGATTATTATAATAAACATATGCGTTCTTTGGGTTAATTGGATTATTATAGATAATAAAACGTCAATCAAATTGATACAAATTCGTACTTTAAATTAATTTGTAAACAAAGATGAGAAATTTAAATTTTATTTGTATGGAATGTTGAATAAACGCCATTATTTTATCATTAATTAATAATGATTATATGATTCAATAGTTTTGAAGAATATAAAATTTCAAGTATTATTAAATTATTTCAGTAAGAAGACAAAATTAAATATAACAAGTTGATATATGTTAATTTATGAAAACTATTTAGTTAATGTTGAGTTTCAAGAATATTCATAGAGATTAATTTCATAAATGTGAAATATTTAATTATTGTTGATAAACATTTAGCTTAGAATATTTATTTATGATTGAAAATGAAGATTATTTAGTTATTATAATGTTTACTGAATTTCAGCGAATGTAATTAAAAATTAGTTAAATTTCTGAAATTAATCTATATTAAGACTCATTGATGTCTTAATATAGATTAATTTCAGAAAACTGAAAATCTTTAAAACGTGTTGATAAAGATTTAGCTCAACAGAATATCTATTTTTGAAGGTTATCTAGTTTTGTACCTAATTTCAGCTAATATAATAAGATAATATAAGAAAATTAGATTCGAGAATAGTCATGAATTAAAATTGTTAATAAAGATTTAGCTCTGTCAATAAATATTTGAAGTAATGTTAGTAATGATTTGTTAAAGTTTGTAAATAAAATTATTGTAGTCAAGAATAGAAAACTTGAAGTGAATGCATTTATTCTCCAATTATACATTTTGGACTTCTGCCATTTAAATATTAAACTTATTGCCGGAACTAAATATGATTATTTTTATTATATTTGGTAATAAATATGCATAATTTGAAATAATTTTAGTCATGATTTAGTACAGTAAACAGGATTATTGTTTTGATTATTGTTTGTGCAATACTTTAATTGAATATTAATACATTTCTGCAATCATAGTAATTGTTTTTATTATATTAAAAAAAGGTTTAAATTGTGTAAATTTGTTGCCAGAAATTAAATTTCTAAATGTGAGACTATTTTAATGAGATTGTTATAATTGAAACTGTTTTTCATTTCATTTAGATGGGAAGTGCAACGTGTTAATAACCGAGTCTAGTAAATAAGAGACTGAGCGTGGGTGTCTGGGAATTATTTTCCGTGTCTCCTGGAGGTGTAATCATGAAGCGCTAATTTCATTACAACCCTCGAGAGCGCTGGCACTAATTAAACGGACACCGTCTCCGAAGACGGATGGCGCCAAAACCCCGTTGAAAAACCCGTTCTGAAACCATGCACACCAACCACCACCACCCATATTTATAATTAACAATTATTTTATTTTCAGCTTATACTTTTATTTATTTTTTATACTTTTTACCCTTAATTCAATCAAGTGCACTTCGTTGCAATGAATGAACTTATCATTCATGGTTTCTTTTTAATGAAAATTAAAAATTAAACTCACATGGATGTTTAAGTCTTTTTTCTCTCGTCTGACGATGAACTTGTCGGAGTCGAGATTGCGACGGACTGATCAGTTTCGTTGTAAACAATTCACGCGATATTAAGGTCCCCTCCATAGGAAATCTATTTATAAATTTGTTGTGAACTCGCGGGAGACGCGGATTCTATCCACTATAAAAATCAGCCCATTTGATTCCATTACTATAATACACACATCACCACTTGAGTGTAGTTCATGGATGCATCTATTATTTATTGGATGCATTCTTCTCTACTTTATCCCTCTTTCGGCAATCGAGAGAATATAACTTCATGTGTGCGTACAGTTTAGAAACTTCTTATCGCATTTCACCTACTATCTGCAATAGTTCATGTTCAAAACAGCATACAATCGTTGGAATTTAATAAATACTATATTTCTTAGCTTAAAAGGAGTAATAAAATCGATTTTAAATCATATACAGTGGAAACTCGCTTAACGAGCATTTCGCTTAATGAGCACAATTAATTGTAAGAAAATGACTCGCTTAACGAACGACGTTTCGCATTACGATGAGAAGAGAAGTTCCGCGCTTGCTCATCATTTTTAAAACATGTATACATATATTATGTGTATTTTTAAATATCTTTCACTATACGAGTAAAAATCCGGAAATTTTGGAACGGATTAAACTCGTTAAGCGAGGTTCTACTGTTTAGCAATATTTACGTAAAGAGATAGTACTTATTGTAATACTAGTAACATATTTATTGTTAATGAGGGGCTGATTTAGCCATGGTCTTTATGAGACGCAAATAAAAACACATCTAATTGGATAGGCTCACAATTAATATTAATTCAGAGTGTTAGCCAAGGGGGACCTTATTTTTTAGTCGAAGCCCCAAACAATGTTAGGCCAGGCCCCTTAAAAAATATTAACCGTGGGCCCCAAACAGTTTTAGGATAGGACCCTCAAACAATGTTAACCGTGGGCCCCAAATAGAGTTAGGCTAGGCCCCTCGAACAATGTTATCCCATGACCCCCAAAGTTAACGTCCTATCACTGCTACACGTCACGTTTAAAAACGTACACAATAGTTGGAATTTAATAAATACTACGTTTTTCAGATTTTCATATAAACAATTATATTTTAATTGAATTGTGGAATTTTCCAAAGTTTATTCACTGCAGCAGTGAATATGTATATTGTTGTTAAGTTTTAACATTATAAATTTGCTTTATTTTTCCGTTTTTTTTTTGTTTAAAATATGATATGAGTGATAATTGGAGTTTATACAAAATAAACAATTTGATAATCGTTTAAAAATAAATAAATGTATTTTTATTATAAATCAAATATTCATATAAACAATTCATGTAAACAATAATCATAAAAAAATAAAATATTTATACATACTGCACTCAATAATTGCATTGAATATGTACGCAAACAGACAAATAAATAAATATACACGATGGAAATTAAATAAATTAAACGAAACTGTTCAATTTCAGAACGAAAAAAGAAATATATTTTTAATTTATCATCTGTACATTTTTAACTGCTTAACTTAAAAGCCTGAGATAACTCGAGATTTTAATTTTTGCATTAGCTTAAAAGCCCGAAAATACTCGTGTATTATCAACATATCCTGTTTATAAATTTAAACACCAAATAAATTCTGAATATGTAAATCAAATAATTGATGATTATTTAGTAACTACAATAGTCACAGATACTAACCGATATGTCAATAATAATTTAGTGAAATTACTCTTTGCAATAAACTATATTTATAATAAAGTGAAATTCAACAATAAAAAATGGAAAAATATGGACACTCTTACAAAATAGTTGTTAAGTTAAGAAGTTAAATAATTTTTTCAGAAAATCCTGAAAATCACATTGTTATTTAGTTAAAACTAATATTGAAAAATATACAATAATTCCAATACAATAACATAAGAAAAGTAACATGTATTAATGTTAATGAAAACTTTTGAAACAATACAATAATAGTATAGATAAAACTAATAAAGTTAATTGAAATAGTTCAGAATATAAAAAATAAACTATAAACATCTAATATTATTTTTTTTAATAACATAATAATATTAGAAACATTGTAATTCAAATATTTAATAAGAAGTTATATAGTAAGCTTTAATATTTGACAGTGAAATTACTTCAGACTTTTCAAAACTGTAAATCTGACCAAGGTCATATGCAAGTTTCTAGAATATCGTTTTGCATAGTTTCGTTTGAAATATTTTCGTAACATTTTATTTCATCTATTCCTCGGATTTGTTTATTGAAATATTCATCGAATATGTAATTGTGAATAATAATGTCAAACTATAACCAACAAATTTGTAAATGAAAGCTAGTTTAAAAGCTTATTTGCATATGATTTTACGACCAATTACAAAGAAATGTATGTGGGTTGAATTATTTTCTAAATGATAACAAATAGGAATGAATCATACTTACCAACTTGTAGTAATAGTATTGGTATTTAACAATCTAATGGTTTTGTTACCAACTAAACTAGTTCATGCTTTGGTGTTAGCTTTTATACATACCAATTTTATGCAATTTTGGTTGCATACATAACCAATTCTATAAAGTTAACCAAAGGTTTATTTAATAAAAAAATGATACCATTGAAAGCTTTTTCAAAATATAGATAAATTGTTTATAATTAACTGTAGGAGAATGTTTAAAATATTTGTGTTAATAATTATTATTCAAATTTGTGAATTATAGAAATTTGACAAAATATTTAGTATACAAAATTATAATAATTGTTATAGACATATGTAGAAATAATAATTGCATTTAATAATAAACAAATAATATAGTTTGTTTTTGTTTACGTATGAATTATTTCTAGTTAGTTGAAAATAGAAAAGCAGTTGAACGAACGAGCTGAAAATGAAGTCAGTTATTTCCAGTCCAATTCAGCACTAGTTTTTGGCGTCGTGGCCAATTTAACCGTTGTTGTTTTTATTTATGTTCCGTGTTTGTTTTTGCGCTTTGCGCGAAACTAAATTACAGAGACAAAGATACAATATTCGGCTGTGTTTAAATTTGATGAAATATACAGAGTGTGTGGGATTTGAGATTTGAATTTGCAATAATACGTATGGAATTAGAAGCTGCTAAATAATTTATTCCCGGTGTGCGCTTGAAGTGCGGAATGCGCGATGTTTGGCAATTTCCATATTCCACACATGTCTTTATGGCAAAGCCGCAGGGATGGGTTATCTTAGTGAGTAACCAGATAATATTATCTGTGCAGATATTATACCTTGAGAGCAAGTCGTTATCACGCTATGCCCTTCTGAATATCGATATTTATTTGCTGAGGAAATATCGCACAAGGACGAAATCGTTGGCCAAATGGAAGCTGCAATATGTATCTGATCGAATTATTTAAAATTTTCTATTTCAATCAATTTAAATTTCAATATCGGAATAATCCATTTTGCAGTTATAAATGCATTCTATCACGTAACGGATGGTTATTTACGCTGCAATTATTATGCAAAATACGTGCTATGTGCATGTAAAGTACGAGCTGTAGTTAATTTTTATATAAAAATAAAACGAAATATGCGATATAAAAATGATGATTGTGTTTGTAGGTAACTTTAGCGATTCAAAGAATACACTGTTTGAAGTTCATCTTCAAAGGAGTTAAGAAGGAAGAGTTGCTTCGCTTTTACTGCCATTTAATCACTCTTGTCGCTCTCGAGCCAAGAAGACTGCGACGAGCACAATCACCGAGGATTCACTTATGTTTCGGATGCCATAAAAGCCTGTGTTTTTATTTTCCACTTGATTTAATACAAATTTTTAAAATACCAGACAGTTATATTAACAACTATTCATTTTTATTTAATAAAATGATACTTTTCACTGGAAAAATTAGATTCTGTAATAATTATATGTTTATGTAATTATACATTTAATTCGTTATAACTAAGTCAGTAATTTCAATCAATAATATTTCAAAAATGATGATGTTCCTCTTCGTTAATTAGAAAATTATTGAATGTAGAAGATGGGGGTTCTTCAGGAAAAGATTTAGAAAACCTGGTTAGCAATAAAGACAAAGAATATGAAGACGAAAATTAAGAAGTTCCTGCATTAAAAAGTTTTATTTTTTTTATCCTGATTTAGGAAGAAAGGTTAAATGCTCCATATAGGTTAAATGAATGAATGAAAAAAAAGTCATAAACAATCATCTTTAGAATCATATTATTAAACGTGATTTCAGTTTGTTAGTAAGTTGACTATTTATTTAATATAACATTTTCTTTGTTCGAAAAATGCCATTGTTACCTCCGAAAACGAAGTTTTGCTTAATTAATTAGTTAATTGAGATATGACAATACAATATAACTCACCTATACTGAATCTCAAAAAAAAAAATCAATTAAATATGAAGCTCAAATCTATAAGTGAAAGTTCCTATTTCATTGATTTGTATATAGTTCGTATATTTGTGGAAATCAATGAAATTTTTGTTAAATATTTTCGATCCATCTTGATTTTTTTTTAGTTTTCAAATTCGGACTGATATAAACTCTTTACATTTGCTTAAATTATTGCAATTACTGAGTAGAATTAAATGAAGAATCTGTGTTTCTTTAACTCTTTGGCCAAACTATGTTAAACAATTAGTAGTATATAAATATTCAGAGAAAATAATAAGTATTTTGTATCTTTGATTGCATTGGCTAAGAAAATTGTTTTCCGCCATGAAAACAGTCGTTGCAAGAAAGCGATCATGTACAAATAATGGAATTGCGCGAATGTAAATGCTCGGTGTTTCCTAACGACCATTATAAATGAATTTAATTAAGCCCATCAAAACTCGACCCACTAAGAATATACGCATTTATATTCTTAGCGCAATCTCTGCAACCGGATTTCCACAACGAAACGAGCAACGAAAGACGTCCAACTTTCGAAACGCTTAACTTCTTGTTTGTATTTGCATGCATTATGAAAATTGCTTCATAACAAACGAAACAATATTTGATGAGGGTGTATTTACCATTCACCAAATAACAATACTTAAAGAGTGTATTTGTAATGTACTATATTTGTTTGGGCTTGGAAAACGGCTCTACTTTTTCGATCGTGCAACAATCAAAGCACTATCCTTCCTCTCTTCATGCGATGTGGTGTGCCTTC